TGCCACAAAGGTTTGTGACTTCTGCTGCTACTATCAGACAAATGCTTTGGTGTTCAGGGAGAATTTGAGCAGCTGAAGTGCTTAGTAAGAGAAAAGACAAATCAACGTGTCAAGTCCTTCCTCTCTCAATAACAATAGATTCTTCCATAACAATGATTGTGTCCCGGTAGCAACAAGCATTGGCTTTCTTCCTTCTATTTGTGTTGCAATTCATGGTTTCTTAACATGTGGTAAGTGGGCCTCCATTTGTACTCTTGCCCCAGGCCAAGCAAATGTTAGCTGGCCTGTAGCTAACACAGTAAGATGTGAAAAAGAAATGAAGTATAACTATTGGAAAGGAAACAAAAGTCATCATTATTTGTAGCTGATTCGTTTGTCTAGCCAGAAGACACCCAAGGGAATCAATTGAAACACTCAGATTTAACTCAGAAAAGAGAGAGTTCAGAAAAGAGTTCAATGAAGTGGCTGAATAGCAATCAATAGTTTTCCTGTAAGCCAGCGACAACCAGTTAGGAGATATAATGGAGAAAAAAATCCATTTGTGATGACAACAAAAAATAGCACAGAATCCCTGGAAATCATTTTTTAAGAAATGCATATGCTTTACACAAAGAAAACAAGGATATTTGTATATCTTTTAGCAAGTGGGATTTGAAAACATGGAAATTGATGCCATATTTCTGGATGGGAAAGCTAAATTTTGTAAGATGACAGCTTTAAAAATTAATTATATGTTTAATTCAATCCAGTCAAGATTCAAAGTTATTTTACCTTGATAAAGTGATTCTAAATTCACCTAAAAGAATGAATAAGGATAATAGCAAAGAAATTTTCAAAAAAGAATAATAATGATGGGACACTTGGCTTATAAGATATTAAAATGTACACATAAGTTATAATATTTAAAACATAGTATTGTCACAGGAATCAACAAACAAATCAAAGGAACACAAGCCTTGAGACTGACCTAATAAAAAGATAAGAACCCAATATACAATAAAGGAAGCATCACAAACCAGTGAAGACAGAATTCATCAACAATAGTAAATGAAAAAAAATGAAAGCCTAAAACATATTTAAAAAGTATAAACAAATGTTGGGGGTGCCTGGGTGGCTCAGTCGGTTAAGCATCCAACTCTAGGTTTTGACTTAGGTCATGATCTCAGGTTTCATGAGTTTGAGCCCCACATGGGGCTGTGTGCGAACTGTGCAGTCTGCTTGGGATTCTCTCTTCTTTCTCTCTCTCTCTGCTTTCTCACTCACTCTGTCTCAGTCTGTCTCTAAATAAATAAATCAACTTAAAAATTTAAAAAAAAAGTATAAGCAAATGTTAAATTTTGAGATTGGAAAGAATTTTTTTTTTTTAATTTGAGAGAGAAAGAGCACGAATTAGTGGCAGGAAAGAGGGACAGAGGGGCAGAGAGAGGGAGAGAGAGAGAGAGAGAGAGAAAGAGAGAGAGAGAATCCTAAGCAGAGTCCACACTTAGTGCGCTTGATGCAGGGCTCCACATGAGGCTCAATCCCATGATCCTGGCATCGTGACCTGAGTTAAAATCAGGAGTTGGATGCACAACCAACTGAACCACTCAGTGGCCGCTAGATTGGGAAGAATTTTCTAAGTGTAAAAGCAATGAAAAAGTTGTAAAAGTATTGCTAGATTTGACTCCACCAGATTTATTGGCAAACACAAACTAGGGAAAATATTTAAAACATAATTGATGTTAGTATGATATGAAAAGTTCTTAGAGTCAATAAAAAAACATCAATACTCAAAATAAAAATGGGAAAGGACATAAACAGAAGATATACATATGACCAACAAATATATGAAAAAATGTCCTAACACACTAATAGTACACAAAACATTTTTATGAATGAAATTGATGAAGATAAAAAACACTGAAATTCTCAATGCAGATCTGATGTGGTGATGCATACATATTCTATACTGCTGATGGGAAGGTAAATTTGCTTTTTGGAAAGCACATAAGTAATATGTATCAAGAGTCTTTTAAGCATTCATCTCTTCAAATGATTTAAAGGAGCAGCAACAGCAAATGGAGGAACAACACAGGTTTAAGTTGAATACCCCAATAGGTGGCAGCCCTGCTATGGACCTGGGTCACTGCTTCACTCCTTGCTCTGTTTTCTCATTCATAAAATGGAGGGAATTAATAGTACTAATCTCACAATACATGCAAATCAGTTAGAATAGTGTCTGGTATTCTCTAGATGATCAGTAAATGTTAGCTATTATTAAATATGTACATATAAAAATGAATATGTATAGGGGTGACTGGGTGGCTCAGTCTGTTGAGCATCTGACTCTTGATCGGCTTGGGTCATGATCTCACGGTTTGTGAGATGGAGCCACCCCTGTGGGGCTCTGCACAGAACCTGCGTGGGATTCTCTCCCTTTCTCTCTCTGCCCCTCCCCTGCTCATGCTCTCAATCTCTCTCAAAAAAAAAAACTTAAAAAAAAGGAATATACATATATGAAAAGTTCATAATTTTGACCCATCCAACTTCTAGAAATTTATCCTAAGGAAAAATACAGGAATTTAGACAAAGATTGACATACAAAGATCTGCATCGCATCTTTATTTACAGAAGCAAACACCATTAAACCAATAATATCTAGCATGTGAATAGTTAAATGAAGTATAATACATTCAAATGATGCTGAAGTATTATACAATCATTTTGAAAAGATTCTGTTTTTGAAGATAGTTTAATGATACGAAAAAATGCTAACAAGTGAAAAAAACAGGCTATAAAACTGATTCTTTAGTAGGATCAAATTTTGAAAAATTAATTTATATATATTTTGTACATAGAGAGGCATTTAGGAAAAAGGTCAATTAGAATATTGACCAATCAGAATAACAATGTTCATCTCTGCACGTTGGGATCACAAGTTATTTTTTCCTTATATTTATTATTAGTATTTCTATTATTCAGTATTTTACACATTTTATAATGAATATTATCATTCCCATTATCATGTAACTTGAAAGGAAAATGGTATATATACATATATATATATTTGATAAGTTGCTTAACTATGTGAATGGGCTTCCCAACGTGCTCATTTTGCTCCTCTCTAACAAATCCTACTCTCTACTATAGAACAAACCCCTTGGGAACAGGGTCTATGCCTCATTTATCTGCATATTCCTAGTGCCTAATTCACTTGTGTGCACATTGTAGTCACTCATTAATTTATAGGTCAAATCATAATCACGAAAGATTGAAATTCTTCCACAATAAGATGTAAATGATTGCTAAACTTAAAGTGTTACCACTCCCAGGGATATGTGCATTTAAATTCATCAGTTTTTTTTTTTTTTTTTTGCAAGGAAGATTTATTAGGATCTCGTGCACAAAAGGTGTTGTTCTAGGTACTATGGGGAATATATAGAAGTTGTTCCTACCTTTGAAATGCTTATAACCTAAACTAACTGTGGAGTAGATTAGGAAAGCAAAAGAAGCAAAAAAGGAGCTACATCATTATATGTTAGACACTGTGCTAGGCAATTTACTTATATCGAATTCTCATAACAAACCTTTGAGGCAGAATTTTCACAGACATTTTACAAATATGGAAATGGGAGGCTTGGGGAAGTTGGGAGACTTATCCAAGTTCACAGAGTTAGTTAGTTAGTTAGTTAGTTGCAGAGGTGGCATTTAAACCCTGGACCTTCTGGACCTGACTCTAGACTATTAATGAACACTGCCTCATCAAAAGGGTGTGTGTGGGGTGGGGAGCTCATACCTAGCTTACAGTGTTGCTGTAAAGACTGAATGAATTGGGGCACCTGGGTGTCTCAATCGGTGAAGCCTCCAACTCTTGATCTCGACTCAGGTCATGATCCCACAGTTCACAGTTCGTGGCATGATCCCATGGTTTGTGGGATTGAGCAATGTGTCGGGCTCTGCACTGACAGAACAGAGCCTGCTTGGAATTCTCTCTAAATAAATAAATAAATAAATAAATAAATAAATAAATAAATAAAAAGACTGAATGAGTTAATACAAGTAAAGGGCAGTGTCTAGCACTTAGTAAACAGTCAACAAACATTGGTTATTGTTACAGGAAATCAGAGGATGGAGAAACGATATCCAGCTGGGAATGGATCAGGAAAGGCTTTCCAGAGGAGGTGACATTGAGGAAAAGGTTGAATGTTAATGAAGAGTGATGGAATAGGGAGAGGTGGGAAAGCTCAGGTTTATGGGGCCATGAGTAGATAGGAGATAAGGGGTGGCATGGGAGCTATTGGGAGATAAACCTCCAAAGAGAGGCAGGGGTCAAAATGTGGAGGGCCTCAAATGCCTAATTTAAAACCCTGGAGTTAACCACTGGGCAATGGGAGCCATTAAAAGTTTTTGAGGAAGAGAAAGATAAAGCGTTCTTCAGCAGCAATGGAGCTGGAAACTTTGCAGTTTTATCCTTGAATGTTACCCACTGCAGAAACCAGCAAACTGAGGAGTAATGTTTTCGACTGAAGGAAAGGAAAAGGGGAGAGAAGGAGGGAGGTTGAAAAACGAGAGTGGAGTGAATTAACTAGAGGACTATAGAGATGAAAAGTGCTCCTGGTGGGAAGTGGTGGAAAGGAGGTCTTCCCTGATTCCTCATTCCGGAGACAGCCCAGGGACTGAACTCGAACCATAACCTACCTTTTCCCAATTTTACGACTTCCGCATTTTAAGTTTCCACCTCCGTGGAGGGCTCCATTTAACTTCTAGACTATGCTTTTGGCCAGTGAGGAGTAAGCGTAGGGCATTAGGACCCAGCGATTGTTGTAGTGAGAGAGGTTGAATCTCAATCTCTCAATTTTTCTCCCGAGCTCCCTCCTCTTCCTTTGTCATTCTAGCTGCCTGCTGCCTCCGCAGCATCCCTCTAGCTCTCCTTCCTTCTATCTCTCCCTGTGCTAACTGTCTGCGCCTTAGACAGGGTGCGCAAAGCCGAAGGATTGGTTGGGACCTGCCTTGGTAACCCCATGGCGTCCCCCAGAACCGTAACTGTCGTGGCCCTCTCAGTGGCCCTGGGACTCTTCTTTGTTTTCATGGGAACTATCAAGTTGACCCCCAGGCTCAGCAAGGATGCCTACAGTGAGATGGTAAGTGAAACAAATGGGTGATGAGGGACGCATCCCGGAGGGATTGCGAGTACCTCTCCCCTTCTTTTCTTCCCCGTCCGTGGTCCCACCCCCTTCACCCCTACCCCCACACCGGACCATCCCTTCTCCCCAACAACTTTGCAGCTCTGAAGGAGCATCTGGGCAAGAGCGATGTGGGCTATGCCAGGAGCAACTGTTTTGGAGCTACTGAACACCAGTTGGGGGAGGGGTTGCCCAGCGAGTACACCTCCACCTCCAAATAAACCAGAAGGCTGAGACCTGCGTAGCACCTGTCTTTGGCAGGAACCCTTCCCTCCTTCTAGTACACCCAAAGTGTGGGCAACCAGTCTGCAAGTCTGATTCCTTCCCCTGGAGCTAGGAGTTTAGCAAGCTGGAGAGTTTATTCATCTTCGGGAAGAACAAAGGGGAAGGAGGGAAACAGCTGGAGGAGAAAGGGCTACTAAAACTGGTGATTTTTTTAGGGGCAGGAAAGGTATTCCTCATTCCAGGAGGAGAACTGATCCCCTAGCCCCCTGGGTGTGTTGTGTCTGTATGCTTGAAACAAAGCAGTCTTGGCCCAAATAAAGGTCACTGAGCACCTGCTTCCTCCCTTTCACTCAAGGGAGACCTGGATGTTGTGTTGTGTTGTGTTGTGTTGTGTTGTGTTGTGTTGTGTTGTGTTTGTGGGCTAATCTGCAAAGTCTGCCTTTTCGCTCCTGCGAAATAATCCATAATCCCCATCTTGCCCTGTGGATGCTCAGGGCCAGGTCCTCTGCAGGTTTTCCCTTCTGCAGAGTTGGAATAACCAAAGGTGACTGGTCAAAACATTTCCTCTGCAACCTGGGGGCTGGGCTGCTCTCCCTAGTTGGACGTGAAGAGGACTTGTTCCTATGCTGTAGAGTGCTAGGGGATGGCAGGGGATGTTTCCAGCACTTTCTGTCTCTCGCCTCTCCCCGTCACTTTGCCTCTTCATTTACCTGCCCCAGCTGAAGAGAACCTGTTTCTCACTGCCTTTGCCAGACTGCCAGTAATGGGAGGGAACCCATTACTGAGCTCTCAAGGTCAAGAAGGAAAGGAGCTTAGGGGAGGAACAGGAAGGGAGAGAGAAAAGAGGCAAGAGGGACTCCCCATTAGGACTGAGGCAAGGAGGAATAGCCCCACACGTTGACAGGAATAAATAGCTCTCCTGGAGCCCACTGCGGAGCCTTCGAGGGCTCCTCAATGGGAGCTGCAAATGGATGGAGACTGGCAAATTGTAGATGCTCAGAAAATGTTTGCAGGCAGCTCTGGCTTCTGTGTCAGGGTTTGAGCTGGTGCTTTCCATGTCTCTCTCATCACAGGATCACCCTGAGGTGGGGGAGGGTGGCTGGGACTCAAGGGTCTAGGTCTAGCCCCAGTGGCAAATCCTAATATATTTCTTCTTCTCCCCTCCCCTCCTCCCATCACGCTTGACCAGATGGAATTGAAATCAGGTCAAAATGAGTATCCAAGGCAGCCTGCACTGGGGAGGGGCAGGGAGGTGGGGTAGCAGAAGCCACCAAAGGCAGAGGGACAGGGTGGGAGGGACATGCCACTATATTTTTGTCTTGGTGGTAGTAGTTTGGTGTTAGATTATAAATACGTGAATATGCCCTTGCTTTTCTTTACTTTTAGTATGTACAGATATTTCTATGTTTGTGTGTGCACCTTAGGTATTTTTGAGCTTTCCCTTTCCTCAGGACATAGTATGCTTCTTCAGTACACTCCCTGTCCCCCAGGCCCTCCTCAGCTGTTTTAGAGCCCCCTCCCCCAAGCTGCACCCTAAGTACAATGTTAGGCTCTGCAGGCAATCCAACTAAGATGGAGTCACCCAGGAAGCTTCCTGCCAGCTTGGCAGGAGTTCCTGAGGAGGACCAGCCACCAATGGGTTTATAGTAGGTTTCTTCCTAGGGGGTCAAGCTGTTTATTGCAGTCTAATGAAAGTCAGAAGAAACCAATATCAAATTTTCATATCATATAAAGGAACATGTTTAAATAGGTGTAAGCTAATACAGCAGGACAGAAACATTGTGTGTGTTGTGTGTGTGTGTACACACAATTCTGTGATTATGTGTTTAGGGGCATCTGGAGGGAATGGAAGAACTGTATCCAGCTGGGAGGTAGACCTCACAGTAATGTGAAGCTTGAGGAGGATTTTCAGATTGCCTTTTCCAAGGTCCCCTCCTGCATTGAACATTGGGCCCCAGGCTGGAGATGGGCACAGGGCCCACTGCACCAGTCCTGGGCTGGCCTAGCTTTATTCTTGAATCCATAGGAAACGGGAAAAATTCAATTCTAGTACAAAGAAGGGGCTCAGTTTATATTTGTTGAATGGATGAGCAAATGAATGAATTATTGGAGCATTCTCTTGGCTGGTCACCACCCTTCAGATTTCTCTGGTTGGATCTTGATTATGTAGTACAGGAGCCATTTCTTGCTCTTAGAAGGGCATATGGCCCCCCAGGACCCCAACTCTAGATCAGCTGTGATGATTATTTGGGATTTTCTGTTTTCCATGTAGGAGTGATTCCTCTCCATTGATAGTCATGCATTGCCTGCAGTGGCTTTTCTTACAAGATCTCAAAGTGTGGTAGTTTAAAGATTATTTGTTCTTTAAAACATATCAGTGAGGTAAATTCATTTAATTAGTTATTCTTATTTTACTGATGGATTAAACTGATCCAATATCATAGGGTAAACTGTTGTGGGAGCAGAGATTAGAAACCAAGTCCATGACTCAGTACTCTCAGTAGAGGAGTCATTAATGATCACAACTGCCTTTTTGGATGTCAGAACTTACAACTGATTCTTGAAAATACCTGGCACATTCTTGCTTCTTTTTTGTAACAGTACAATTGCACCAATCCATACTTTTACTTTGAAACCAATTTTTCAAATTTAGAATTTTGGTTTTTTTCTTTTCTGCCACTATTTTTTCCCCTGTTCTAAAACCATTAGTGTTATGCCTACATGTTGTCCCCTCCATGGAGAATCGTTGCTAAGAACCAAATGGACACATGACTATGAACTTCCTTCCTGTATACTGCAGAAGCCAGGAAAAGTTAATGGATGGAGCATAGGCTTTTGGTCAGATAGCTTTGGGCTTGAGTCCTGACATTCTTGGTGTCTCAGTTTCCTCATTTCCTCAACTTTACCTCAGAAAGTTGTTGCAAATATTAATCGAGATTATATATGGAAGTATCTGGTATAGTGTTTACATATAGTGAGTGTTTAAGAAATGCTCTGGGTGGAGTAATGATGATCATGGATTCTACATTATGCAGTGGCTTCCTGACTAATTTGAATGGTCAGTTTAAGGGATTGAACAGACATTTATGCAATTAGCTAATATTGAAAACTCCACACTTGCTGCTGGACAATGCACAGTGGATTCCATGCAGAACTTCCAGATGTCTCTCTGAATTGCCCATTTGGTGTGTGTCGCCCCATACCTCCTCCAAATTTAGCAAGTATCATTATAGAGTACTCTAAAGCCCACGTGAATTCAATATGACTGATCACTCCCTTGACTAAATACCTTCATTAATTCACTTGAAATTAGGAGACAACGCTTACAAATGTTGCTAAGCAGCTTCCTGTGCAGTGATGGGGAACAAACAAATGGTTGACTTGCTCTAAATTTGGTATTCAGCTCTTTGTAGCAGTGGTTCCATTCTGTAGTCAAAAGGGGCCCCATGTAGAATGGTAAGAAAATGCCAAATTCCTGTCACAATGAAGCCAAGGGATTGTGGCCCTAAGGAAAACAGGGCAAGTCTCTGCTTCTTTACATCCCCTCATAGGGAAGGTTTGTTGATTTGATTGATTTGCTTATCTTATAGTCAAATGCCCTCATGTTTGGGCAGTTTATTTAATGCCCTTAGGTAATCTTTTATGCTTCCAATCACCGCCATTAACTGCTTTCCAGCTAGGTAATAAGACAGTAATTCACTGATGCCTAGACTGCTCTCTGAGGTGGTACAGTACCTTTATTCTGTCAGAGAGGAAACTGACCCTGAGATGTGAAGTGACTTTACTTAGTTCATGCAACTAGCCATCCCACGCTAAACTACATTGGAGTTTATGCCAAGGAACTTGTGGTCCCTCAATGGCCAACAGCTGTGCTTGTTTCAGAGCTACCTTTCTTTAACAGTTGAAGTCAGATTCTTCTGCCCTAAAATGCAGTTTGGTTAGCAGGACCAGGTTTCCCAGCTTCCTCTTTAGGTATGTACTATATAACAGTGGGGAAGAGAATTGCTTAAAATGTGTTTATCATTCACATGGATATTTGACAATTAAACACGTGATGGCTTTTTATTGCCCTTAGGAAATAATAATTCACATATGGCACTTTTTCCCTACAGAGATGCAGGAAAATCATACTTGAGTCAGTATATTCTGCAGCGGTTATGGTCTAAGACAGCCTTTACTGTCTAAGATAGCAACCAGGCTGAGAATTTTAGCCAAAATATATTTTTGTCAGTGCCCTCTTTGGCTTTCATATAGTTTTTTTCTCTGTAAATTTTAGTGAAGAATAGCATTCTGAAACGTGTACCTAACATAAATGAACTGCTCAAGGAATTTTCAGAATACTCCTGTGCAACCAGCACCCATATCAACAAACAGACCGTTACCAGCTCCCCAGAAACCCCCCTTGGGGCTCCTTCCAGCTACTACCTCCCCAAGAGTAATTATTTTCCTGAATTCTAAAAATGTAAGTTAGTTTTACCTGTTTTTGAATTTTATATAAATGGAGGTACACAGTAGATTAGCCATTTTTTTTTCTTTTACCTAACTGGCATAAATATACTGAAGTGGACCAAACCACTTGGCCTCTGTTCGCATTTTGTCCTGTTAGCTGACTTGGACCAGTTATTAATTGCACTTGAAGATGAATGTAATTAGACAGTTTTTAAAAAATGTTTATTTATTTATTTTGAGAGTGAGAGAGAGAGAGAGCAGGGGAGGGACAGAGAGGAAGGGAG